TCTTAGTACTAAGTTATTTTATTGAACTAGGTAGTGAGGTGGCTAAATCTGCCTCTATATCATGTCTCGAAGATGGAGCCACTTTTTTTGAGTAGGTGAATAGTGATTGAGGCTCTATCTTCGAGGCATGATATAGGGACCAGATCTGGCCACGTTACTACCAAGTTCAATGGAGAAACTTGGTACAAAGTTTCTTTATATTTCTCATATATATATATATATGAGAAATATGGAGAATCTTGGTTCCAAATTCTTTCATTGAACTTGGTAGTGAGGTGGACAAATCTGCCCCATATATCACGTCTCGAAGATGGAGCCATTTTTTAGAGTAGGTGAATAGTGATTAAGGCTCTATCTTCGAGGCGTGATGTAGAGGCCAGATCTGGCCACATCACTACCAAGTTCAATGGAGAAACTTGGTACCAAGGTTCATCATATTTCTCATATATATATAAGAAATATGGAGAATCTTGGTACCAAGTTCTTTCATTGAACTTGGCAGTGAGGTGGCCAAATCTGCCCCCTATATCATGTCTCGAAGATGGTGCCATTTTTTAGAGTAGGTAAATAGTGATTGAGGCTCTATCTTTTATAACAATCACCCTTTTCTGACTAACTTCACCCTTTTCTGGTGAGCTTCTGCCTTTAGGCGAGCTTCAGAACATGCATCGAATAACAGGCCATAACTTTTAACCCGTAAGTCGGAATTGGATGAATTATATATGAAAATCGACTATCTCGATGAGATGGAGCCGACCAAACCTATCACAAAAGGTTCGGTTTGCTCCTGTCTATTTCGCCAAATTTCTTCCAGTTTGAGAGATAACAACATTTTCCCTTTTTTATTTTGGGTGAGGTTTTAGTAGTCTTGTTCTGAACTTCTCCGATATGGATTAAAGGTAATTTTTATTGCTTACACCCACATTATAAAGAGCTTGTAGCTTATCCTTAAGGATATAGCACTTGGTGGTATGATGACCCAAAAATCTATGGTACGCACAGTAGTTCGGATCATCTGTTTTGTTCACGTCTTCAGGCTTCGTGGTCTTTGGTAGCTTGAGGAGAGTATTGAAGGTAGCCACAACTTGGTCTTTCTTGAAGTTGTATTGCCTCGGAGGGCGCTGGTCGAAAGACTTGGGCTTCTATCTCTGAGCTGACTTGGTGGCCGGAGTAGAATTGACAGCCATGATCTCTTTTCCCCTCGATCGAGAAGAGTTTTTGGGGGCACTTGGTTCCGAAGCTCCTCTTTTAGATCGAGGCTCTTCGGCTTCCAACCTTTTGATCATGTTTTCCACTTATTCGCCTTAGCGAACAAGTTCTTTCTAGTTTTGGGTTTGTACCCCGCTAACCTTGGATAAAATATCGATCGAGAGATTGTTGCGACACATCTTGATCAAAGTGCTTTTCGAGACCTGGTCACGGCAATGAAGCAACCGATTCGTAAATCTCTTTACAAAGTCATTGACCGACTCTGTTTTCTTCTATTTGTCAGCGAGCAGAGTGGCCATCGACACTTCCGTGTCGTCCTGAAGAACCGAGCTAAGAAAAGCTTTTCCATATCGGCCCATGTTTTAATAGAGTCTGGTTCCAACTTGCGGAACCATTCAAAGGCTACCCCCTCAATGTGCCAATGAGCAGTCGAGTGAGGATAGGATCATTCCCCATGAGAAATCATGTTTGAGATAGGAAGTAGTAGATATGTTGTGAAGGAGATCCCCTGCCGTCAAACTAGACTAAGCTCATTTGTTTGAACTTTACCGAGTATAGGATTGTATCCCATTCGATTGGATACGATCTGACCACCCCCAGCTCGTTCATGCTCTTCTGAAACTTTAGGGTGTTGAGTTGACTTTGGAACTCATCGAGCCTCTTGTCTCGAGGAGTCTTCCTAAAGACTTGGATGAATAATCCAAATGTGATCCGCGTTTATCTTCCTCCTCAGTTATGTTAGGAGGAGTAGGCTCCCGCTCTCGGTTCCTCGAGGATCTTCACTGGTTCCGTGAATTCCTCTTCTTCTTCTTGTTCAGAAGTTGTTCCATCATTCCCCTCAAGGAGTTGATGGTCGCTTACTGCTCCTCGACTCTTCTGACAATGTCATCAGAGTTGTCCTCCATGTGCACCATTGTGAGCATTCCATAGGCTAAACTTGAGGTCTGAGACATTGCCATCACTAAGCATGCCTCATCCTTATTGTCGTAGATAGGCAACAAGCAAGCATAATCAAAAGGGATGGCAACCCCCATTTGAGTACGCGTGAATTGGTAGACACCTTCGTGCTCGACGGGGAGCCAATTCAATCCCAAGGAAAATTTTAGATCCAATGAATCCGAATACTTGGCTTTTCCTTTCCTTACCATGTTAACCGTGGCAGCTGGGAGTTCCAAATCATCAGTAGCATGTCTCCTCTGGCGATTGCACCTCCGGCGAGGAAGTCTTGACTCTAGAGGCTACTGAGAAAGCCTTTCGAACACCGATAGTTTTGGTGCCTCTGTACACTGGCAATTAGCAAGTACTGCTTTGATGAGCCTTTCACAGTAGCACTGAGGATTTGCCTTGTGAATCACACACTTGCGAGTCAGATGCTCTCTGACATCCATCGTAGGTTGATGGTGACAACCCTCGGTGTCAGAAGAACCAAACACGTAGCCATGCGAAGAAGGTTCAAGATAAGACTTGTGAGAACACTTGGGAACATCTTCAAGTGTTGGACTCAGGCGAGCCTTCCTTGACAGGCGAGCCTCATGTTCTGCCGAGCTTCAGCCTTCTGGAAAGTTCCAACTGCTTGTTCATTTAGGTGAGGTCCACCTGTTTGACTGGTCTTTGCTTTGCCTTTTTGGCCAAGGCATGCTTGTGGGCGAGGCTTGGGTGTCAAGCGGGCCTGATGGGGTTTGCATGTTTTCTTCAACTCGCCTGATTTGGTGAACTTTCTTGATCTGGATGGTTCATTAGATTCGAGCACTTTGTCAATATAGCGGAGCTCTCTTGAGTAAGGGGGCTCGCCTGAATTGGGAACATGGCTTGAAAAGCGAAGCTTGCCTGATTTGGAGGGTTCGCTTGAGTTACTAAGTTCGTCCGAATGGGAAACTTTGCTCATAGAGCGAGGCTCGCCTGAAATATCAGGCTAACCTGAAATGCCACGTTGGCTAGTTTTAGGAACTCTGCTGATAGAGCGAAGCCCGTCTGAGTAGGTAGGCTCACCTGATAGGCTCAGTGTGCCAGAACTGAGAACTTTACGTCCTCGCTTGGCTCTTCTCAGGGTTGAATAG